GAACAACCTACTTAATCAACTTCAGTCCGGATTTTGCCCTAAACACTCCTCAGAAACTGCCCTCCTTAAACTCACAAATGATATGCTAATGGTTAAAACCAACGGGCACTATGCTGTACTCCTACTCCTGGATCTCTCTGCCTCCTTTGACACAATGGACCATTCCCTCCTCCTCAAAAAGCTCTACTCCCTTGGTCAGGGCCGTGGATAAGGAAGTACCACCAGTTCTTCTGTACAGGGCCCAGGACAGTAGGGGGGCCCAGGCAGCTGGCTAAAAGCAGCATGGCAGAGGGGCAATTACTAGGACCAATTCCCTGTATGTCTCTCTCTGCAGCAGCTAAAAACTGGCTTCTTCTACCCCTCCCCCTCCCCCCCCCCCCCCCCGCTGGCTTTGGCTTTCAGCTGCTGCAGAGAGAGACATACAGGGGATCAGGTCCAGTAATTTACCAGCCCCTTCCTTGAACACATTGAGTGTTGGTATTGATCACTCACTGTGTTCATTCATAACTGAAGCATTGAAAACGGTGTTAGTTTGGCTGTATGGAGCCCTGTGGTTTGGGGGGGCCCTGTCAGGTTGGCTGTAAGGGGCCCCATGGTTTCTAATAGCAGCCCTGCCCTTGGTCTTCGTGACTGTACTCTTTGCCGATTCTCATCCTACCTATCCCACTGAACCTTCAGTGTCATTTACAATTTTACTTCCTCTTCTTTACTCCATTGGGGTTCCCAAAGGTTCTGTGCTTGGACCCCTCCTATTCTCAATCTACATCTCCTCCCTGGGTCAGTTGATTGCCTCTCATGGCTATATATCATACCATATCAATATAATTTCTATGCTGATGATAACCAAATATATCTCTCTACCCCTCAGCTCACTCCATCAGTCTCCTCACGCACCACACTAATCTACTAACAGACATATCAGCCTAAACACCACTTTCTGAAAATCAATTTATCTAAAACAGAGATCATAATATTTACTACCCCACTTGCCCCTTCCCCTTACTTCTCCGTCAAAATCAACAGCTCAACCACAAACCTGTCCCCACACGCAAAGGTTCTAAGTGTAATCCTGAACTCTCCTTTTGGCCCCACATCCAATCACTGTCCAAAGCTTGCGGCTTCAACCTCCACAACATCTCTAGGATACACCCCTTCCTAACCAATGACACCACAAAGCTTCTCACTCCCTGGTCATCTCCCGCCTCAACTACTGCAACTCCCCCCTCACTGGAATACCTTTACATAGGCTATTCCCCCTTCAGTCTATCAGGCTCATCCCCCTTACTAGCCGTTTAGTGTCTGCCACCCCTCTCTGCCAATCCCTCCACTGGCTGCCACTCACCCAACAATTAAATTCAAGACACTTACAACAACTTAAATAGCCATCCATAATTCTCCCCCCGGCTACAACACTAACCTTGTCTCAAAATACCAACCAAATCGTTCTCTTCGATCCTCCCAAGACCTTCTGCTCTTTAGCTCCCTTGTTTCCTCCTCCCATGCTCACCTCCAGGACTTTTCCAGAGCCGCTCCCATTCTCTGGAACTCCCTTCCCCAAGGTGTCTGACTATCTCCTACTGACTCCACTTTTAGACGATCCTTGAAAACTCATTTCTTCAGAGAGGCCTATTCTGACCCCACCTAATAACTATACATGTATTTTCTCCATCAGCCCATCTCCCACAGTTATTACTTTTTGAATCACTTGATCCTCCCTCTTAGGTTGTAAGCTCTAACGAGCAGGGCCCTCTGATCCCTCCTGCATTAAATTGTATTGTAATTGTACTGTCTGCCCTTATGTTATGAAGTGCTGCTTAAACTGTTGGGGCTATATACAGTGGGTAAAATAATTATTTGATCCCCTGCAGATTTTGTAGGTTTGCCCACTTACAATAAAGAAATGAAGGGTCTATAATTTTTATCATATGTGTATTTTAAATGATACAGACAGAATATCAACCAAAAATGTAGAAATAACACGATACAAATGTTATAAATTGAGTTGCAGTTCAGTGAGTAATATAAGTATTTGATTCCCAAGAAAAACATGACTTAGAATTTGGTGGAGAAACCCTTGTTGGCAAGCGCAGAGGCAAGACATTACTTGTAGTTGGTTACCAGTTTGCACACATCTCATTAGGGATTTTGGTATACTCTTCCTTACAGATCTTCTCTAAATCCTTAAGGTTTCTTGGCTGTCACTTGGCAACTCAAAGTTTCAGCTCCCTCCATAAATTTTCTATAGGATTACAGTCTGTCTAGGCCAATCCATGACCTTAATGTGCTTCTTCTTGAGCCACTCCTTTGTTGCCTTAGTGGTATGTTTTGGGTCATTGTCATGCTGAAAGACCCATCCATGACCCATCTTCAGTATTCTGGCTGAGGGAAGAACTGTCCCATACAAGATTTTACAATACATGACCCTGTCCATTGGCCCCTCAATGCGGCAAAGTCGGTCTGTACCTTTAGCAGAGAAGCAGCCCCAAAGCATAATGTTTCCACATCCATGCTTGACTGTAGGGATGCTGATCTTAGGGTCATAGTCAGCATTTTTCTTCCTCCAAACATGGCGAGTCGAGTTATAGCCAAAGAGCTCACTTTTGGTCTCATCTGACTACAGCACTTTCTCCCAAACCTCCTCTGAATCATTCAGATGTTCATTGGCAAACTTCAGATAGGCCTTCTTGATGAGGGGGATCTTGCAGATGCTGCAGGATTTCAATCCATGGTGGCATATTGTGTTACCAATGGTTTGTTTGGTGACTGTAGTCCCAACTGTGGTTATTCACAGGCTCCTCCTGTGTGGTTCTGGGCTGATCCCCCACTTTTCTCACAATCATCCTTACCCCATGGGGCGGAACCTTGCAAGGAGCTCCAGTCTGAAGCGATTGATTATAGTTATTTTGCATTTCTTCCATTTGCGAATAATTGCTCCAACAGTTGTCTCTTTCTCACCAAGCTTCTTGCTGATGGTCTTGTAGTCCATTTCAGCCTTGTTCAGGTCTACAATATTGTCCCTGACATCCTTTGACAGCTTTTTTGGTCTTTGGCCCATGGTGGTGTGGTTTGAATGGAAAAAAGAGATTCTGTGGACAGGTGTCTTTTATACACATAACGAGAAGTCGTTAGGCGCACCTCCTTAAATTGACAGGACTAATCTGTGTACCACATGAGCACATAGCCAGTCTGTGGGAGCCAGAATTATTGTTGGTTGGTAGGGAATCAAATTCCTATTTTACTCACTGAACTGCAACTTAATTTATAACATTTGTATCTTATGTTTTTTTTTATTTTTGGTTGATATTCTGCCTCTATTTAAAATACACTTATGATAAAAATGATAGTCCCTTCAGCAGGGGATTAGATAATTATTTTCCCCACTGTAAATCCTGAATAATAATAGTAATAATAATAATATTAATTATAATAATAACACAGCAGTCTGAATGGATGGTACACCTGAGTGTCCTGTCTATTCAGAGCACAATACACATGTGCTGATGACACCATTGGTTGCTACAGATGTGAATATCTCCTAAACGATGCACATTTAGCAGATATTCACTGTAAGCCTTATTATAGGCTTAACTGTAGGTTCAAGTTGCAAAGCAGATTTTACTACCGCTTTAATGGTTATAAAAAAAAATAAAATAAAAATCATACAGAATGTTAGTGATGATTTATTTTATAGTTATGGGGTCAAAGAGGAAAGTTTTCTTTTGTTAAATAAAATTGTAATCTTTTTTTGCTTTCCCCTGGATTGTCAGAGGTTTCTAAAGATGTACAATCATTTTTTTTCAAGGTCTGGTTTAATGGTCATATGTCTTTTTTGATGTAACAGTATAATCTTAAAGTGTATTTTCACTTTTGCAGACAAAGTAGGATAACACCTACGTTATATTTGTTACTTGTTCCAAATAACATATCATAACCTAAAGTGGTTCTAAAGTCAATACATTTTTTACCAGTATTTAAAATATTTGTAATGTAATACTTTACATTCTCTTTAAAATGCATAAAAAGATTTTTCTTACCTTTTTGACTATTCTAATTAGAAGGTGTCATGGCTGATTCTAAAAATTTCTAGACAGTATTTGTCCCACACGGAGTAAAGCCAGTGGTTCAGCAGGGACCTGACGAGATTTGATCCATCTATAGGCAGGCTGGTTGTACTGAAGTCAGTCCATCGATAGTACAACCAGCCCATAGGATTCTTTTTCATGTGATCACTGCCGGCAACTTTAACCATCAGGAGTGATCATTGTGTTCTGGGTGTTGGGAAGGCTCCCCTCTGGTAAAAAACAATAGTGCTGCAGGAGGGATTCCCCCATCAAAGCTGACTGCATTAATTACTTGCCTACAGGGCACTTATACCCCCTTCCTCCCCAGGCCAATTTCCAGCTTTCAGCACTGTTGCACTTTGAATGACAATTGCGCGGTCATGCAACACTGTACCCATATGACATTTTTATAATTTTTTTGTGACAGAGCTTTTAATCACCATTTAATCACCTCTGGGTTTTTTATTTTTTTCTTAAACAAACCAAAAACCACTAAAAATTTTGAAAAAAATTTTTTTTCTTAGTTTTTGTTATAAAATTTTGTAAATACGTGTTTTTTTTTCTCCTTCACTGATGTGCGTTAATGAGACTGCAGTGATGGGCACTGATAAGCTGCACTGATGGACACTGATGAGGAGGCACTGGTAGGTGGCACTGATGGGCATTGACAGGCATCACTGATGGGCACTCATATATGGCACTGATAGGTGGCATTGACTGGCACTGTAAGGTGGCACTGACTGGCACTGTTAGGCGGCACTGATAGGCAGCACTGACAGGCACTGTTAGGCGGCACTGATAGGCAGCACTGACAGGCACTGATGCACACCGATAGCGACACTGACTGGCACTGATAGGCGGCACTGACTGGCACTGATAGGTGGCACTGATTGGCGGCACTGATAGGTGGCACTGACTGGCATTGATAGGTGGCACTGACCGGCACTGATGGGTGACACTGAAAGGCAGCTCAGATGGGCACTGATATGTGGCATTGATGTACACTGGTAGGCACTGATATGTGGCATTGATGTGGCACTGATGGGCACTGGCAGGTGGCATTGATGAGCACTGACAGCTGGCACTGATGGACACTGACAGGTGGCACTGCTGGGGCTACACTGATCATCAGGGCACACTGATCATCAGTGCCCTGATGATCAGTGCACATGTCCCCTCTGAGGGATGCCGATTACCGGCTCTGCTCTCCTCTCAAGCTGTCAGCGTGACAGCTCGTGAGGAGAGAAATGCCGAAATGTGATTGGACACAGCCGATCACATGACCGAGCCAACATCTTCGGCTCTTTCCATTGATCGGTGATCTGCTGTGTCTGAGGGACACAGCGCACCAACGATCGCTGTGCTGTGCGCTCCCGGAGCCGTACATGCGTGGTTAGAATGGGACGACATGATATGACATCCTTATATGGTGGGCGGGAGGCGGTTAATGGGGGAATTGAGCAATTTTCTTTCCTTCCAACCATGGTGGAAGGAAAGAAAACTGCTTAATCTGTGGGCTGCTTATGCTAAACTGTACCTCATTAACATACTTTTTTCAAGATGATGGTTTCAAAATTTTTCACCACTTGTTTTAATAGACAGTGTTCATATCTAGTTTACAGCTGATAATGAACTGTGAATACATTATAATTAAGAATCTAATGTTTTAATGGGAGAATTCCTCCTGCAGCACTGTTGTGTCTGCCAGTGGGGAGTGCAGGGAAAATTCCCCACTGGCAAAATACAATGATCACTGCTGGTGGCTATAGCCTCCGCTAGTAATCAGGTGGAAACACTTTACAAATTGGTTGTATTGAAGTTGATAGAAAAACTTCAGTATAACCAGCCTACCAATAAAGAAGTCGAAATTCGTCTAGTTGCTGCTGAACCGGCCGAATTTCGATTTATCTATGGGCAGCTTAAGTCCAAGCACTATACCTGTACCTACCAAATACTAAATAATTGATTATAGGTGGACTAAGACTTAATTTAAGGGTTGCTTCAGAATTGTATCTGTTTTTTGCATTTAAGCCACACCATGGCTTAATCGAGCTTATCAAATAGGGAAAAAAACAGTGAGCGCTAGTCCTGAAAGCGGCTAAGCACTCTAAGCAACCGATATATACTTAAAATAGAATAACATAAAAATAGTGCAGCGCTATGAGTAGTGATAGTAAAACAGATATGAGTCCACTTAAAGTCTTAGTCAATAGAACGTGTCCAGTGACAAGTAAGGATTCAAAGTTTGTGATCCGTGTGGAAACGGCTGAAAAACGCACTCACCAGAACAAAGACACATAAACGCAGTGTGCATCTAGATTCAATGGTTCCATACCTCTGAAGATGTGCGTGCGCACGTAATGCGTAAGGAGGAGCCTGGACGTCGAGACGCTATGCCGCCGGAGCCACGTGGAGGCCCGGCAGCCATCATTCAGAGTGTCAGGGTTAGTTTGTCTTGCTGACACATCTTGATGATACCTGCCTACTTTGAATTGGATGCTACTTTTACTCTAATAAAGCTGCTTTTTTATAATCTACTACACTATGGGTGTCCTTCCCTAAACTCCCTTGAGGAGCTTTTTTCTTGCAGAACCCTGATCTTGGAATCCTACACCTAACTGGGAAGAGGAGGATCTGTTGCTGCATCCATAGAGGGGGGATCCACTTTTCCTGTAACCGGACCAGCTTTATTTCCTTCTGGATTGAAGATCCATGAGCACTAGATGCACACTGCGTTTATGTGTCTTTGTTCTGGTGAGTGCGTTTTTCAGCCGTTTCCACACGGATCACCAACTTTGAATCCTTACTTGTCACTGGACATGTTCTATTGACTAAGACTTTAAGTGGACTCATATCTGTTTTACTATCACTACTCATAGCGCTGCACTATTTTTATGTTAATCGAGCTTATGGTTAAGCTACCAAGTCCTTCTAACACTAGTGAAGGGTATATGCTAGCATTTAGTGTTTTCAAATACATAGCCTAAGGGGTCTGTATTGTATAATGCTATTTCCAGTTCTATATTGATTTGCCGCTCATGCTGACACTGTAGCACTGAAGACATTGCAGCATTGGACCAAACAAATTCACTGGGCTACTGCAATTTTCTTTAAGTTATACTTCTGCTGCAGGGCTGGATCTATAGTGGTAGTGGGGTAGGCTGTGCCCCCCAGATTTTAGCTGTGCCCCCCAGGTCACTGAGAGTGCATCCACTGATCCATGAGCCAGTCTGATGCAGACAGTTGATGTAAGGGGGTACTCTGATGGGGAGACTATGTATGGGTACACTCTGATGGGGATAACTTATATGTAAGGGGACACTCTGATGAAGACAATCGATGTAAGGGGGACTTTATTAGGAGCATAGATGTAAGGGAGCACTCTGATGGGGGCACTTGATGTAAGGGGGCATTATGATGGGAACCCTAATGTAAGGGAACACATTGATGGGGACACCTGATGTAAGGGGGCACTCTGGTGGGAACCCTGGTGTAAGGGGGCACTCTGGTGGGAACCCTGGTGTAAGGGGGCACTCTGGTGGGAACCCCGGTGTAAGGGGAACACTCTGGTGGGGGCACCTGATGTAAGGGGGCATTCTGATGGGAACCCTGATGTAAGAGGGCACTATTATGTGAACCCTGATGTAAGGGGGCACTCTAATAGGAACTCTAATGTAAGGGAACACTCTGATGGGGACACCTAATGTAAGGGGGCACGCTGGTGGGGATATTGATGTAAGGGGGCACTCTGATGGGGGCACCAGATGTATGGGGGCATTCTGATGGGAACCTTGATGTAAAGGGACACTCTGATGGGAACACTGATGTAAGGGGGGATTCTGATGGGGATACCTGATGTAAGGGGGCACTTTGATTGAACCTGATGTAAAGGGGGACTCTAATGAGTAGCCATGATGTAAAGAGGGACTCTGAAGAGGACTCATGATGTAAAGGAGGACTCTGACAGGGGCATATGATGTAGGGGGGAGCAGGTTTTGTTTAGTCATCATAATCTAATAATAGTGTTTCCCAGATCATAAAACTTTGTGACACACTGTCAGTGACTCACACACAGTGCTGACATTCTGCCCCCTGACTTTTTTTTCACTGCTCCCCCAGATCAGATAGGCTAGATCTGGCCCTGCTCATGCAAAGCCTAGGATATTAGATAACATCCTTGATGCTGGGGTCCCCAATGTGCTTTTGGCTGCAGTGTCACTGATGGCCCTTTTAGAAATATAATGGTGCTCCATACACTGTAATTGATCACTATCCTTGACTCAAGGAGACATTCATATATATAAATGAAATGTTCCAGGATTTCAGTTCTGACTCATTAAACAATAAAAATAATTTTTGATATTAGCACAAGTCATTTGTTTCATAAAATATTGTTCTTTGAACATCTGTAGTTAATGTTTGTTGCACAGAAACATTTTTAATGAAAAAAGTATATTTTCATTGTTATTATTTGGTAACTAATAATATCAGTCATGTTTGTCCCTGGAAAGTCTATTTGAAAATGATTATATTGGCAGTCATGCGCGGGCAATATTATGTTTGCAGTCAGCTTAAATTCCCCAAAAAGTGTAAACAGGGAAACAAGGATTCCACTGTTGCCTAACAAATACCTGAGGAAGGAGGGGGTGGACTTTTCTAGGTACAGGGAGGGATCAGATATATTTCACTTTACTAGATATTCAGTTATAAAGATCAACTCCACTCAAAATCAATCTCAATTTTAATTTTAAAAGATTTTTAAACCACATTTGTGTTGTGTTAGCAAACCAATATTAATGAAAAGTAGACACTGGAGCTGTATAAACCCACTTTCTTCTCAAGCACCGCAAGAGCCCTCCAATCCAGTTGTAAATTATGGCTTCTGCTCAAAATGTTCAGTTCTAATATATCTCATTCCCATCTGATGTACATCAGTATTGGTCCTTCAAAATGAACCAAGTGACTACAATTTATTTACATTATAATGTATAAGAGTAACTGTATGCTCTCCCCCTATGTACAGCTATAAAGCTGCATTTAACCACTTCAAGTCCAGACCCTTTCACCCCCTTCCAGTCCAGGCCAATTTTCAGCTATCAGTGCTATCACACGTTGAATGACAATTGCGCGGTCATGCAACAACTGTACCCATATGAATATTTTAGCATTTTTTGAGACAGATAAAACTTTATTTTAGTGGTATTTATTCACCACTGGGATTTGTATTTTTTTGCTATATAAATGAAAAAGTCCAAAAATTTTGGGGGAAAAAAGCGTTTTTTGCAAATAAATAATCTTTTTTCATAAATCTTGGCCTAAATGTATTAATCTATCTTTTTAGTAAAAAAAAAAAAAAAATAACCCAAATTAGTTTATAACCAAAAATTATAATTTTTCAAAAACATTTTACATTTTTATTTTATTTTTTTTATATTATTTGTGTTTTTTTTTTTTTTTAATACTGTCACCCTAGCAGTAGTGTCACCATAGTGACACTGTACTGTTTGTGGGGGGTGATGAAGATTTTGTTTCCTTTTTTTACACTTATTGCTTTTACACCCATATAGGCTGTAAAAGCAATAATTTCTCCTCTCTGGCCACATTCCTGCAGCCATTGAGAGATACTGTGTGAGCTGTGATTGGTCACAGCTTGTCACATGGTACAAGGCTGTTGTGAATAGCCTTGTACCATGTGATCTCTGTGATCATTCACAGATTTCACAAGTAGTAAGCAATGGTGTCAGGAAGTGATGGTGTCAGGAAGATGATTACTACTATTCATGTGATCACTGATTGGCAAATCAGTGATCACATGAATCGGGATCTCACACAGAGGTCCCGTACAACAATCTGTGCTCCCAGGGAGCGCGCATAGGCAATGGATGTGGGGGGATTTTAAAAACGTCCCCCCCGCATCGGTAGAGCTCCATTCTGGCCATTTATCAACATTGGCCGGACGGGAAGAGGTTAATGTGTAATTATTACTACATTATATTACAATAGAACTGTGCTATATACATCAACAACAAAGAAGTAAAACATGCCAGATCATTTTCAAGCAATTGTAGCACCTTCCTAGCTGGGTGCTAGTAGATTTAGGAAAATTTTGTTTTGGCTCCTATGTAGACAGTAGAGTAGAGTGATTGATTTCTACAATTCTGGGTTTTGCTCCTCCCTGCATTCCAGAACTCTCTGGGCTGTTCTAGAACATAGGTGTGGAGTGATTAAATGGGCAGCATGAAGCTGGGCATAAGTATCCTGGAGCCTAGAACAGCAGGGCCCTTTGCCTAGCCTAGTAGAGAGAAACCCAACCTAGAGGGGCTGTCTGCCC